CTTCTATACAATACACTAAGGTTATTGTTTTATACAATATACTAATGTTATTGTTTTATACAATACACTAAGGTTATTGTTTTTCTTCATTTAACGTAGACGTTTACTATAGGGAAGATTACGATACATACTTGGTTGTACAAGTTATAGGGAAGATTAAGATACATACTTGGTTGTACAAGTTATAGGGAAGATTAAGATACATACTTGGTTGTACAAGTTATAGGGAAGATTAAGATACATACTTGGTTGTATAAGTTATAGGGAAGATTAAGATACATACTTGGTTGTACAAGTTATAGGGAAGATTACGATACATACTTGGTTGTACAAGTTATAGGGAAGAATACGATACACACTTGGTTGTACAAGTTATAGGAAAGAATACGATACATACTTGGTTGTATAAGTTATAGGGAAGATTACGATAATAATATTTTTTTTATCCTAGAAAATGCATAGCAACGAATGTTTATTATAAACACGGGCTACAAACGAATTCCCAGCTCTGATCCACTGGTTCCTATTGACCACTACTTGAGTTCTGATCCATTGGTTCTTGTTGACCACTACTTGAGTTCTGATCCACTGGTTCCTATTGACCACTACTTGAGTTCTGATCCATTGGTTCCTGTTGACCACTACTTGAGTTCTGATCCACTGGTTCCTGTTGACCACTACTTGAGTCCTGATCCACTGGTTCCTATTGACCACTACTTGAGTTCTGATCCATTGGTTCCTATTGACCACTACTTGAGTTCTGATCCATTGGTTCCTGTTGACCACTACTTGAGTTCTGATCCATTGGTTCCTATTGACCACTACTTGAGTTCTGATCCATTGGTTCCTGTTGACCACTACTTGAGTTCTGATCCATTGGTTCCTATTGACCACTACTTGAGTTCTGATCCATTGGTTCCTGTTGACCATTACTTGAGTTCTGATCCATTGGTTCCTATTGACCACTACTTGAGTTCTGATCCATTGGTTCCTGTTGACCACTACTTGAGTTCTGATCCACTGGTTCTTATTGAATACTGCTTGAGTTCTGATCCACTGGTTCTTATTGAATACTGCTTGAGTTCTGATCCACTGGTTCTTATTGAATACTGCTTGAGTTCTGATCCACTGGTTCCTATTGAATACTGCTTGAAAAGTTCACTTAGATCATGATGACATTTTATAGAATCAGCTAAACGAATTAGGCTTAGGTGATGTTGTAGGTTTATAACTATGACAACAAAGTTTTGGTTTTGTTTTTCGAGTGTAAATATAAAACACAAGTTTAAACATCATAGTAAAGTCCCTGTTTTCTCTTCCAGAAATTCGAAAAAGTTTCTTCGAATGGAATAAAACTCAACCATACTGATATCTATTGTGTAAAATTAAAACTATTTTAAACAATCTTAATTTTCAAAGATTTTGATAAGAACGTATATTGCTTAAATTCCCACAAATAATTATTTTGTATATAAAGCGTACACTCTTCATAATAGTGCTATCGTAAAAAAAGAACAAAAAATATACTGGACTTTACGCAGCTGTTGTGATCCAGTTTACTTTCCATTAGTTAAAGAAAATATTTGTCCTATTATTTTAATAATTTGTTACATTTAATCATTAGATGCTGTTGTAAGACATTAATTAACAGCACAAATGTAGATAATCCAGACTTAATAAACCTTACAATATGAAAAATATACATATAAGAAAATAAACGTTATCCAGAAGGTCGTGTCATTCAAACACAAAGAAAGTTTATATAGGTAACATGTAACAATACATTATCCAGAAAGTCGTGTTATTCAAACACAAAGAAAGTTTATATAGGTAACATGTAACAATACATTATACAGAAAGTTGTGTCATTTAAACACAAAGAAAGTTTATATAGGTAACATGTAACAATACATTATACAGAAAGTTGTGTCATTTAAACACAAAGAAAGTTTATATAGGTAACATGTAACAATACATTATACAGAAAGTTGTGTCAT